TGTAACTCTGTGTAAAACACTCTGACCGCTTGCGTTTCTTGGTCTTTTAACATAGTCGTGTTGATTGATTCACACTTTTTAATCACAATTTCAAAAAACAACCACTTTTTAATCACAATCTGAAAATTAGTGGCCAATGTTTACAAAAGCACATTTGGACTTTGATCCTTCAAAGTAAACAAAATGTTGACCTAATTCCAGTAAAAGAGTGGATGGCAGGGGTCTCATTTCATATTGTATTGTCTTACAAGAAGAAAAATGTTCTCGTCTAGGCATGCTGCTGGAGATTTATATGGACTTCATAGGTTATCTATTCAGCCAGATGAAAGTGTTTAGACTTTACAGACTTTATAGACTTTAGACTTCCAGGATTTCCAGAGTTAATATCCTGCCAGCGATAGAAACAATATTTTCACTGTAAATAGGTTGAGCTGTCTCAGTGGAGTTCAAGAATGTTTTTATAAAAACTGTCTGGGAAAGTTGAGAAATTTGTAACTTTAAAGCACCCTGAAGTGCACGGCTTCCTAACAATTCCTTTCCATCATATTTATATTACAAGTTCTAGTGTCTGTCTATACATGGAGGAAACATCAGATAAGTTACAGTTCCTTAAATTAGTTCCACAAATTAACGTGACGCCACAGGGGAAGCAAATCTAAACACACTGAACATGGAAACAAGACTTTCAAAAATAAAACAGGAAACGTGTACAGGCATTAACTGGGACACGCAAGCTTGAAACAAGAGACAGAGAGAACGAGCGAGAGTGATAGAGCAACACCGAGGAGAAAGACATGTGGGGAAAGTACACAGACAAGGAGATAGAAGAATAGAATAGATAGAATAGAATAATCCTTTCATTGTCCCACAAGGGGAAATTTGGTTGTATCAGCAGCAAAAACACACATATACAAACAGAACAGGACACAGAACAGAAACACAATTTTTACATATTTATATCATGGACAATAGTTACCAAAGCAGAGGACCGTACAGTTATTAAAAATAGAGTGTATATAAGTGGCAAACCCAGGTTGTAGTGTGCAAACAGAGCAGGATACTGAAAGATGTTTAAATAGTTAAGAATATTTAGAATGCAGATGCAGATTGCAGATTGTGTATTGTACCTGCGCATTTATAAATTGACATGTAACTTCCAATAAGTTAGTGTATATATAAACTGAGAAAAGTAATGTGCAAGTTATAACACATGACAAACAGAAAAAGACACATATACAAGGAGAAGTGGATGATAACATGAACTAGACTAAACCTAGACTAAGACAAACTAATAATAACCCTAGAACTTAACATTATCTCATAAGTAATCAAAAAATGCAAAATAATTCAAAATGCTGGGTCACAGATCCAGCCCCCTGACAATGTTGTTGTTATTGCTCTGTTTCTTTTTTTAGTTGGGAGACTGAATGTCCCCTTGCCTTGATAACTGTGTGATCAGTTAAATTCTTTTACCAGGTAAGGTAAGCAGGTTTTGTCCTTTGACTGCTCAGTAGCCCAGATTCTGCCTAAATTATTAACAGCAGCAAGTCTTAATAAGCTGACTTAGATCTGACAGATGCAGCACACTAAATTTGGTTGTGTTTCTGGCTCCTGGAGACAGTGGATGCCCTAGTCATGAAAAATAAAGAGAACTTGTTTCTAGTTTTAAGAATTTCTTCAGTCAATCGTACTAAATATTTTCAGTTAACATGAAAAATAGAGCCAAGCACAAACAGGTTTTATACAAAGACTTTATAGCTGGCATGAACTCAGTGCTGTGACCGTGGAGCATGCTTTTAGCACCTTATCTGAAGCATTTATTCCTGTTCTGCCTGGAAAACATGTTGGGATGTGTTTGCTGATATTTCTATTCCATTTCTAAGGGATATCCTTTTGTGATTTTCAGCTTTAGGAAATTATTTCATAAAAATATCCCTATATATACACATACAGCCTGTAACATACATGCTTTAAGCATTCCAACATGCAGTTCTGCAGATAAAGGTCAAAATGTTTTTCTCGTGCCTCACCGTGTTAGGTCCAGATGTAGGCTGAGTAAGTAGAACAACAGCGGTGTTAAATCTGTGCAACTCCCCACATTCACATCTGGGGAATCGCTCGTGTTTGCTTCTCTTGGCTGTCTGCTGCACAGCTCCATCAGAGCAGGTATGTATTTCTGGAAATGAAACAGCAGTCAAATGAGATTTCATTAATAAATCAACAGCCTGAAACCATTAAAGATTAAAACAGAGGGTAATAGTGAATAAACTTGAGATTGGGTCCATGCTTTTTAGAGACTTTGCATTTCAGATCTGCACAGTAGCTGAAGTGTGCTGTGGTGCAGGTGAGCACACCACTGGCCTTCTCCTCCGCTAATCCCACGTACGGTACACCTCACAGACAGGCAATAATAAGTCAAGGCTAAGTGATTGCTTATTTTCTGCTGAGATTTTCATGGTAGTTTTCAGTTGACCTGCCTAAAATCAAACTAATCACTAAAAGAAGTGATTTTAATTTTGTATCTTTCCATAAAAGCTTCATTCCACTGTATTCCACTTCATTCAATCCACTTGCTGGCAGATGGGGGGCATTTTGACTGAAAAAGGACTCCCTGCATAAATGAATAGTAGCAAAACACATGGTGATTCACAAGGAGATGCATTATTACCAAAAAGTTCTTTGTTTTCTTGATGTCTCAGAGAAAAATGACAGCACAGCAAGAGACGACTGAGTAAAGAAGGAGTTCAGAGCAGAGTCGAGTTCTCAAAATATTACTATTCAATACCTAAAGTAGTAGAAGACAGCAGTGCAGATGTGTAATTTTGTTGCAGTGAGGAAAGTCCAACATGGAGTTAAACGTTTACATTTTATGCACTTTTGCATAGTTTTAATTATCTGAGCTTATCTGAGCGAGGCTAATGTACCATAAGCTGATTATTTTTTATCTTGTGCACACAAATATTTCCTTGAACAACTTATTATCTTGTGTGTGGTAATTATTTATCATGTGCACAAACAATAATTTATTACACATGACATCACCAGCGTTGTTTTCATGGTAATTGTGGGCTTTTAATGATTTCTTTGAACTGATTGCACAGCATGCATCAATGACTTTAAAAAACTAAAATTGATTGCACATGTTTGAATTTATTTTGGATTTTCTTTAATCCAAGGGTCAGAATTGTACATACAGGCTCAAATATATACTTACACAGTATATATTTGGTTAATGTCCTTTATCAAGTTACACCTTGACCAGACACTGTTTGTAGCTAACAGCTGGCATCTGGTATAAATCAGGCTGAATATTTGACCGCTCTTCTTGGCAGAATCAATAGTTTATTTAGATCAGTGGCCCTCCTGACACGGACTTCTAAGTTTTCTAAGTGTAGTCCACAAATTTTCAACAGGGTTAAAGTTGGGGCTTTATGAAGCTTAATGTTAGCCTGCTTTATCCATTGCTAAAACCAGTTTTGACGTGTTTGGCATCATTGACCTGTTGGAACACCCGACTGTATCCAAGATTTACCTTTTTGGCTGTTAATTTGAGGTGAAGTTGAAGAGTTTGACGGTCATCCTCCTTCATTATTCCATCCAGTTTGTGCAATGCACCAGTATCACTGGCAGCAAAACATCTCAAGAGCATGAATCTACTAGCACATAAATATAAATGGTCTCTGTTGTAGACTAATCCATTAAGGGATAGTTTATTGGAAGCTCTGCATTTATGGGTCTTATATACAAGAAGATGTGGCATGCACCAAGCTGACAAAACAGCTATCTTTGTGTGGTCATGCGGTGAAAAAAGTGCATAACCACACAGATGTCTTAAGTTGATGATGAAGGACCACTGAGTTTTTCTCATATAAAACACAGGAAGATGTGAACTCTGAAGCAGTTCTTGCTTTTAGTGATCCAATGCAGATTTTACACTGCAAAAGATTAGATTAACATAAAGAGGGGAAAACAACAACTTATGTGTGACCCATGAGGTTGTCCTGTTGGTTCTCTTCTGTTCGACTTGTGCCATTTTATTTCTTTAAGTGAAATTGGTGGGTGGAGCTGACCTGGCTCACATTTCACTACACCTGTGCAGGCTTGGCTTGGCTTGGAGGGACAAGAGCAGTTTATCAGATCCTCCAACACCGTCTTTTCCAGTGGCTGACAGAGCTTTCGTTTCATATGCACACACTCATACATTTACCATCCACTCTGACATACTGACAGTCACATAGATTTGTTTCTTTATTTAGCTGAAATACAATCTGAAGACTATGTGTGGTCTCACCTCATATTTTTTGCAGGGGTTTTTTTTGGACAACTTTATTTATAATTTTCCAATATGACAAAAATACAGAAAAATATAACTCGAATTGCAATATTATTATAATAGAAACATTTAGTCACTCAGGAAGGCTAGCATTCTTAGACAGAGATTTCCATCAGTAATGGGGGACATTTAAAAGTTGATATGTACCGTAAACCTACGCATACGGATCAGTTTTTAAGCGGCCACAGCGGCCAGGGAAGCAGAAGACCATCACATCAAGAAGGCCCTGAGTAAATGTGGTTATCCCATGTGGTTATCTTAGTTTCAGTATTAGTTTTAGTTTCTTTAATGGGAGGTATTTGAGAGAGAGGTGTGATTGAAGAACTCCAAACCATCTATTATAATATAAAAACTTTGCTCAGATAAACATACACCCCAATGTCTCTTCATGCTGCATGTGTCAGTCATTACACTATTATGTGTGTATTCTGTGTTGGTTACATTATTAAAAACAGTTATTGACAAATATTCTAAGTCTAGTTTTAAATAATATCTCAATCAAAAGTTATTCTTTTTTCAGATTTAGTTATAATTTTTAGTTTGATTTTAGTTAACTATGTTAACCTTGCTTGTTTACTGATTGTGGTGAATTCATTAACCTGAAATGACCGCGTCTTCTCTTTTACGTGCTTTACGGTAATTCTCTCTTAGAAACGGAAGTCTCAATGAGAACTTCCTTAGTTACAAGACGCTTGCACTCCGATTGTGTGTCGATATTTAGCTTGTAGCCTTCTTGCTACATTTTCCAACGTGTTTAAGTCATAAAGACAAAATTTATTTTACCTTTAATTTAATTTTACTGTGACGCGAGACAGCGGAGAAACTCTTCGGGTAAAGTGTCCATATTCCCGCTCGTTTTTCATGGCTCTTTAGAGGAAATGACTTCCATCCAGTGGTGTTTTTTACCCCTTATATTGACGGTCATATGTGGACGTCTGGCACACGGAGCTACAGACCCAGTGGGGAGTTCCTCCATCAGTGCCACCCCCGCTAATGGGAAGCCGATCAGCTCTGCCACCCCTGCACCGAGCGGTACGGAGGCCGTGAGCTCCACTGGTGTCAACACCACGGAGGTCCCTTCGCTTGCCACCGTGAACTCCACTGGTGTCAACACCACGGAGGTCCCTACGCTTGCCACCGTGAACTCCACTGGTGTCAACACCACGGAGGTCCCTACGCTTGCCACCGTGAACTCCACGGTGAACACGACGCTGTCCGCGACCGAAGCTCCCACTGCGGCCGCCGAGAGTCCAACTGCAACCACCGTCCAGCGTGCGGTGTCTCCACAGGGTAAATTACACCTCCACCTACATCGTTTGTTGGGGCGGTTAAGTCTTTTTGTTGCTTCGATCAGGCTTCCCGCTAATTACTCAAGCTAGACTTTGTGGATCTGACGGTGACACCACACCTAGCATAAGTACTCCCAAGCATGTCTAACCCTTTTCCTGATGTTTTCCAGCGTGTCTCTGTGATTTAACCCCTGGTTTCTGTGACATCGGCTGCTGCTGTGACACAGCTGACTGTGGGGTCCCTAGCTTGAGCGCTGTCTTCACTGGATGTCGGCAGAGAGCCATGTGAGTGTTGGTTGTTAGCTCTATAACACGTGTAGTATACAGCTTCAGCATTTAAAATGCCATTTTTAACTTTACAGATCAGGTGTTTGCATTGAGAAATGGCTGATGTTCAGAGCCAATGTGGATTCGTCTCTTATCACAGTGACTGACTCTCTGTTTTGTGTCCAGCCTTCAGGTAAATGGCATAACTTTTTTTTTTTAAAAATTACAGGTAAGGTCAACATATATCATTATCGTTTTCCAACCTCCAAACAGATAGCACGTCCCAGTCTTTCCCAGCCCAACCTCAGCATCCAGTTTTAGGGGACTCGTAC